TTATTTAGACATTGTCCGAATGTTCTGTACGTCCAATAGCTTTCAGCTATTACTTTAGCCATTATCCAGGATGATTTTATTTAACTTGTAAGAATTTTTTAATGAATCCATTTAGAGTAACAGGAATGTTTTGTTTTCAAAACATTGTGTCGGTGTTCATAGTTGATGTTATTGAGTGTTGGCTTATTCTTTTTTATTGGTAATGCTTCCAAAATTTTAGCCATTTTTTACATGTGGTTGAAGCTATTTTATTTATATTTGTATTGTCAACGAGAATGTTAACTGTCGTATCTGGGTGTTGATTTCAGCGTCCTTTTACACCCACACACATACACACACATATATATATATATATGTCTAGGTATATCAAAATATAAGTATACATGCGCCTATATATTTTTAAAATGATAAATATATATGTACCTACAAAAAGAATGAGTTGAACACACACATATACGCACAGAAAGAAAGGGAGAGAGAAAGTCAGAGGCTGATAATTTAAATTCGAGTCTTTGGAAATTGTCCATAGGAAGAAATGCGTTTGATTCTTAATTGAAAAATTTATTTTAAAAACCAGAAAAGCTGGAAATGTTCTTCAGTCTTTGAATATTCTGGAAGCGTTCGCACGCACAGGGTCTCATGTTTTTAGGAAGCGAAGAATATCTATTTAGGGCCTTGTTTAGAATCTAATCAAACTGGGCACGGAATGGAGTTTGCCGGGGAAATTGCTTTCTCCTCATAGCGACAAGTGACATGAAAATTTGGAAAAAAAATGTGACAATACCAATTGGGGAGAGGACGAGAATAACTTCAACTTTGGACAAGATGAACATCGAAAAGAAATAAACAAACCCAGAAAAAATAATGATTAACAAATCAAGGTCCCATGTGATTATTTTCTATTGAAATTGCGTCCGTTTTAGTCGAGTGGACAACTTCACAAACTTTTTTTATATTAACACTGAATTTACTAATGACTGAGTTACTTAATTATTCGTTAGTATCTATCTATCTATCTATCTATCTATCTATCTATCTAAATATATAAATAGGGATGCCTCAAACTTATAATAAAACCGTGTCTACTGAAATTTCCAAAATTAAGAAAAAATGTAACCATTCATTCAAGTACATATTTTGCAAAGTATCTATCTATCTATCTATCTATCTATCTATCTATCTATCTATCTATCTATCTATCTATCCCAATTTAATCATATTCATCTATTTTTGTAACATCATATATGACTGATCGCACAAGCAATAAAAGTCAGAATAAGCTCAAAAGACATTGCAGAAAAATTTTCTGACATTTTGCAAAAAATGGCGCTGCGCCAACCTAATAACTATCACGAATATATATCGATCAACCGAAAAATTAAATTTATGATCTTTGTAAATTTTATTTCGTTAAAACAGTCAATGCCTAAGAAATGATGAAATTATGTTTTATGTATGCATTTTGTGAACTCATCAATTCCTTGTTGCGTATGTCATATACTTTTTTTCACATTCTAAATGTATTTACCTCATTTTTGCTTCATAAGCATTAAAAACATTCTGCTTGGTTTTATTACCATCAATTAAGTAACTGCTTATATTGAGAAAAATATCTAGTGTCATCTAATGATACCAATAAATATGTGCACAACATATTTGACATATTTTTGCAATATGCAGGTATTAGTTATTGTAATAGGGACTATCTTACACCAGCCAGAAAGACTGATATCTTGTTTTTAATAATTCTATTCAAATCAAGGCGATAAGTCCACTAGGACGCAGGGGTTTACACACACACACACACACACACACACACACACACACACACACACACACACACACACAGAGAGAGAGAGAGAGAGAGAGAGAGAGAGAGGACGTTAGTGGTGAGTAAAGTAAAGGACAATAAATGAATAGGAGACAGAATATGGTGAATGTCGTTGCATTTAAATTTCCGAAGATTTTAGGTGGCAGGGAAGAAAGAGATCGGAGGTGAGTTCCACAAGCGAGACGTGCGATAAATGATCTTATTAGGATAGAACTGACTGTTGCATCTAGATAGTTCATTGGTAAAACTGTGAGACTTAGTTACCACTCTAACAGCACGTTTAATTTCATGCAATCGAGACACTGAAGATAACGGATCATCAGAACAAATGCCATGTAAATATTTGAAGAAAAGACAGACCCTTCATTGAATTTTCTTGACATAGTTGTTCATGGCTGTAAAATTCGAGTGATATCAGCCTATGCCCCAACTAAAAAAAAATGCTTTTTTCCGAAAAAGAAACTTCTGCAGAGGGCTAAGCCTGCATTGATCTTACGGACCTCGGAAGACTGGTTATTAATTACTACCTCCATGGAACTAACCGTCTTTCTTTTTTTCCCGATCGAGGAGTTCACAAGTGGTCGTTGACTGATGATCTGATTAGCTGTGACGAAAAGCAACTGAAATTGAAATGAAAGAAATACTCATGAAAAATTTATAATATGTAACACAGCAAATCAAATTCTGGCATTAGAGAAAAAAATCCTCAGTTGCATTTTTTATGCAAACCAAGACTTGAAGGTGTGTATAGGGTGTATCGTCAGTGGTAGTACCTTTGCAGTGAAGCATTCGATCCTGCCTTACTTAGGTGAATTGTGACGCGGAATTGTACTGGGTCACAGTTTACACCCAACTCTCACACATGGGTCCAAAAAACGCATGGACATTGCGATGGCCACACTCTGGTCAACGGCATCGACCTGCCGGATAAACTGTGTGAGGGTAGTCGGAAGGGTTTCGCGACCCGACCGGTGAAGAAGAACACCTCTCATTAACCCACCTGTGCCAAGCAGCCACTGTAGGAGCTGCGCTTCGGAGGTCAACGGAGGAGTTTCTGTGAGGAGGGACAAGATAACCTCAACATTGAGAAAATGCTCTAAATGAATAAAGGATTGAAGATTTGAAAGCGATAGACAATGACAAGGTCCTCTGCATTTCTTATAACAGCTGTTAGACTTTGCAATTAGATTGCAATCAAATTAAATACGACATTTTGCAGGTTTAAGCTAAAATTTATAGAGGGAGAAAAGAAAACATGGGGAAATTATATATATATATATATATATATATAAATATAACATTTCCCCACGTTTATAAAACTGTATGTTTATATGTATCTTCAATACTATAAACATTATATTTAGTGGATACGTGTGTCTGAGTTAGACATCTCTGCTTTTAAAACAATTTAATTCAACGTCTCTCGGCCTGTGCACCCGTGAGTCTTAATATACAAAAAGTCAATATTTGTCTATATTTCTGAGAAGAGGTATTATGTACATTATTCGGATTATTGAGGAAAATAGTCCGAATAATGCAAATAGTATACAAAAAATCCTTAATCAGTTCTAGACCTGTGTCCCCAGTATAATAAGAGAAACAGCTTGAGATCTGGTGAGTTTTAGACCGCTTAGTCGCAAAAGTCGTCTTAGAAAAGTAAGGTTTGATTACCATTTGTAAGGAATAAACATCACTCTTTTAATCATCTTTTAAATGTATATAAGCTAAATTTATTTTCATAGGTGAAACGTAACCAAGATAATTTCTAAGGAATCACTGATTTTTATATATTATCCGACATTATTTGTTCTTATTATAACATTTTTAGTGTATGCACGTATTTGAGTAGATAACCTTACATAGTGTTATTCAGTGTCTACCGGTCTGGGCACTCAAGAGTCTTAATAAAGTCTTATACATCCTTATATATACATATAATATCAATTGATAATTATTACGGATAATTCCAAGGGGGACATTAATCCAAAGAGTGCTCAATGTAAATCCATTCGGTCATACTTTATTTCATGAATATACAAATATTCCTCAGAACAAAGTCTTTTTTAATAAATCGAGTCAATTTATCCAGACAAAAGGAAAGGGGAGAGGACAAAAGAAAAAAGAAAAGTAAAAATTTTTAATATTAAAAGAGGAAGAAAAAAAACAAGACTAATATAGAGTTTAAAAAATTGGGGGAAGAGAGAAAGAAAGTGGGGGAAGTAAGCGAGAGGGGAGAAGAAAAGAGAGAGGGAGAGAGGGAGGAAAAGAAAAGAAACGAAAAAAGGAATAATTAAACATGAGCCGGTAAGGCGACCTAGAAATGATTTTTTCTTTAAAGACTGAACAAGTTAAAATACTGGGCAAAGTAGGCGAGTAATCAGAGCCAATATAGATACATTTGAACAGTCTGATATTCATGTTATTTTCGACAGCGAAACAGTCATCATCATCGCATTATAATCATAACAATTTCAACATGATAATAATAATAATAATAATAATAATATTTTACATCAAAATAAAGCAGGTTAAATTAAAATAAAGTAAATAAGTTAAATAAAAAATACACAAAATATACATAAAAATATATACATAAAAATATTAATTAATAATTAAATAAATAAATTAAATAAACAAATAAACCTTATATTGAAATCTTGTTTTTCTTTCTTCCTCTTTTAATATTTAAATTTTCCGCTTTTCTTTTTTCTTTTTTCCTCTCCCTTTTCCTTTCGTCTGCATAAATTGATTCCATTTAGTAAAATCTTCAGTCTGAAGAGAGGAATATTTGTATATTCATGAAATTTATACCCGAATGGATTTTTTAAGGATCGTCTATACTCATTACATATATATATATATATATATATATATATATATATATATAAACACACATAAACCCATATATACACACACACACACACACACACACACACACACACACATATATATATATATATGTGTGTGTGTGTGTTTTGATTATAAAGCACTTAAAGTATGGAGAAATTAAAACATATATACAGCTATTTAGTTAATAAAGTCTAACGTTATAAGCAGAAACTTATTTAAATCCAGTTGCTTATATAACTCATGGTATCCATGGAGCGATTTATTAAACAAACATATCAAAGTTTTTTATCACTCTAATACTTAGTTATATACACTTATATCAACAAAACCGTAACCTAATTATGAAGTGAGAGGGAGAGAGAGAGACAAAGAGAGAGAAAGAGATAGAGAGAGATAGAAGGAAAGAAAGACACAGAAGAAAGAGAAAGAAAGAGAGAGAGAGAGAGAGAGAGAGAGAGAGAGCTAATATTTATTTTTCATCATAATTTCCTTCCATTTCAGTGAACATTAGCTTTTGGTGAATATCAATCACATAGGTCGAGTATGATTCAAAGAAAATTTCAGATTGACATTCAGCTAATAATTCCGTAGGATTTATTGATCAATCCGTGTATGATGACGTAGACAAATTGTGGCGGTAGAAGAGAAAAAGGTAATAAGAAGCGTAAATGTATTTTTGTGCCGAATGCATTTGAATTCAATATACTTACATAAGGTTGGAGTTTTCCTTAATGCTGCCCATGACACATATACTGAATCTATCTTAAATATTCAGAGTGAGGAATAACAAATACTAAACATTTCAAATGAAGCAGTTATAACAAATTTTGTATAGGAGATAAGTAATTGAATATTGGATAGGCTGATCGAAAGGCACTTTCTCTCAAAACTGCAAATATCTACAAAACCAAAGCATTGACCAAAAAACTCGAGTTTTATTCTTAAATAGCCTCGACAGATCTAGTCACTTATGTCATGCATAAAGTCCATCTTATTCAAAAATGTCTAAACAATGGGCTATATATAACCTATTTCTCAGATTAGTGTTTAAAAATGACTTCTAGCGTATAAACCCACTAGGTCATAAAGAAGATTAACCCTCATCAGATTTCAAAGACTGGCGCTACAGAATCACAGAGAATCTTACTAAACAACAAAAACTGAATCACTTGAGGCAACAGCAACAACTAAAATGGATAGCATTTATAATTCGAAGTGAAAATCTCTATCTATAAAAGGCAGGATGTTTGTGTGTGTGTAACGAATGCACGGCCGCAATTTTCGACGGATTTGCACCAAGATTTACATGCACATGCTCCAAGTTAGCGGGAAGGCCAACACCGACTTTGCATTTCCCAACTCCCATCGATAGTGGAAATAATCGATTTTTTCATGCTTCTACGGCACTTTTCATGTAGGTTTTCGGCCATTTTCTACTGGCCAGAGTGAGAGCCTATAGCTGGCTGCCACGAATAGGCAGGAAGATTCTATTGGCCAGCGTGAGAGCCAACAGCTGACTGACACGAATATTAACTAGCATGCTAGTATGCAAAAAAAAAAATCGATAGCTGCATTCGTCACTAGTGGGAAAAATTTAAATCTGCATGGCACTTTATTCCAATTGACTCATTCGCTTGCTTAAACTCAACGTTGATTCTGATTCCGCAGAAACTGAGTTGGTGTGAAAAAGTATTTCTTGTTAACATTCTTTTTTCATTCGGTTTTTCTAGTTACGAGTCCTTTTTTAAAGCTGATCGTTTTGTGTTCATTTTGTTTAGTTCTTTTTTCGTAACAGATTTAATGTTTAGTATAGAGGCTAGAAAAAATTCGCAGTGTGAGATAGGCAAGAAGTTAGGCATGTAGCAACATCAGCACGGCAAAGGGCACTCCTTTAAAGGCAAGGAAGGGCAAAAATATTTTAAGTCAAGTGATAGCGATTGCTGTATGAGTCATACGATTTTTGAATCAAACACGGGCAATGCCGGGCCATGCTGCTCGTGATGATATAATCAAGATGTTGACTTTCCAGACTATTTAAAAATATGTTAAAAAGGAAACTCTCATCAAAATGCGATAAGAGTTAGTGCACTTGATAAACTTATTTTCACGAAAAACTATTTTAAGAGAAAGAATTCCCAAACATCAACTGACAGTAACTCCAATTGCTTGGTTAATGAATGTTGAATGTTTCTTTATAAACTTTTAATCTCGCCATTGCTTTTACCGGTGAATTTTCTGGCATTCTTGTCATTTAGCTATTACCATTATATCTCCTAAAATATTTCTAGCTGACTGAAAAATGAATATTAGAGATTGAATTTTGTTTTTATTACTAAAAATATCTTTTACCAGCGTTCAGCACTCTATGTGTTGGGCATTGGAAATCCGAAAGAAAGGTTTTGTCAGGGGTCATATATTAATGAAAGTGTTAGTGGAAAAAATGATGAAAGTTCATTGAAAATAAAGAGCGGAATGATTGTCAAGGGTCATGCATTAATGCAAATTCTACTGAAAAAAAAAACAGTGTTATTTTAAATATAAGGATGAAAATACATTGGAAATAAATGGTAGAATGATTAACAGGTTTCACGAATTAATACAAGTAATACGGAAAAAAATACTGGGCTATTATATGTATAATGATGAAATAGATTGAAAATAAAGAGCAGATTGATTGTCAAGGTTCAGGAATTAATGTAAGTGTTACTGACTGACCAGGGTCATTATGTGTATAATGGAAATGCATTGCATATGGTTTTATTTTAGAAAAGTATAGCAAATGATTTTACTAAAACAATGCTACAAAAGCAAAATATTGATCTCCAAACTCGAATTATGTTCCTTAGTATCTTCATCGGATCTGTAATTTTATATAGATGCCATGCGTTGAATCTAATTCACTCAGAAATATCTAAACTATCGTCTTTACTCAACAGATTTCTCAGATCAATGATTAATATGGCTTCAAACGAATTAATCCTATAAAGCTTAACAAAGGCGATTTTTCATCAACCACATAAACACAAAAGAATAACTTTATCACACAAAACAAACACATAGAACAAAACCTACTTGAACACTTTAAACAATAGCAACTACAAAAATGAGTAACACTTGTGAATAGAAGAGAAAATAACAAAACATATAATCATACTGTTAACTTTCCATACAACCCAAAACAAAAAATGATTGCAAGGAGACTCCCTGTAATAAGTAATCAGGAGTAATCTCCCTTGTTTTATGATTACCTCCGTTTGGAGAACTCTTTAGTTCGTAGAGGACTATAAATAGTCACTACACTTTATTAATGTTTATTATTATGTTCTAAGCTGACTAAAGCTTCCTTAAGCCTTCTCTTGCTCTCATTTGTCATTACATTCCCATTAATACAGGGATCGGTGAGGAGTTCCAAGAGGTCAATGATAGTCACGGATTCGAATAGCGGTCGGTGGGAATGACCCTGAGCTAAATTTTAGTTAGTCTACATATATGTTGTATTCTTTGGTGCAGATAGAAGACAGGCACTGAGTTTAACGAATAACAGAATCAAAAGCCTGAGTTAGATCTATCCAAGTAGCTTTTAACTTATTTTGATGAGACTTATTTTATGCTATATTGAGCATTGCTTGTTCTTTTTTAATTGTTCTTTTGGGGAAAAATCTGAACCTGATGATGCTGGGGGTAAAATTTTCATTCAATTTTTTTTTTTAACTTTTCATACGTTTTAGTTAACATTTTAATTGACAACATCCGTACGAGATGGCGGTTGCAGGGGAAGGAAGAAAAACAAAGGGGTGTCTATGGTTAAAAAAGATTTACCTGCATTAGTATTAGAAAAATCTATAATATTTATTGGACTTCTGGAGACTAATTTCCTGAAAAACTGTTTTAATTAAACGATTTTATAATTTCCCGTCGACAGTGGCACTAATGGTTCGGCCAATGAATGCTGAATATTTTCTGAATGGAAACTGTTTATTTTTACTATTAACATGATTATTGTAAATAATAGAATACGTTAAAATCAAGAGTAGTGCAGTTGTTAGTATTCAAATTAAGGTAGAGTTTCCTGACGTACACAACAGTTATTTATGTTCACTATAAATATTATATATAATGGATACCCATGTTTGAATAGGCATCTCTGTTTTTTAAAAGCATAATATGACGTCTGCTGACTTTAGTTTTAGAGAATCTTTAATAAAGGAAATTCGAACTTGCTGTGCTATACTATCAAACTACAGTATAGCCCGGAGGTACTTTTAGACTGCTCAGTCAGAAAGGACTTCAAGGCGAAGCCAGGCCCAGTTATCCTTATGAAAGAAAGCACATCTATCATTAAGATCTTCTCAAGCGCATATCTGATAAGGTAAATAAAGTAATTTCTAAAGAATTAATGATTTTTAATCTGATATTAGTTTTCATCACTATATACAGAGTGGTCTGAAAGTATTTTCACCCCTACGTAATATAATTTTCCATTTAAACGCTTAAGGAGTGAGTTTCAAATTAACGATACCAGAATACCCATCAGTTGAAGGACGCCGTTCGCAGAGGCTTTGTAACAATCAACAAAGCAAAATAAAAAAGTGAAATATCACAGAGAACATGGCGCCACATCATTTTGTGCCACGAAATATGTTGTGTTCAGAGTGCAAGTTTGACGCTGAGCCCAGTAAAAATTAAACAGCTGTTTCTGGCGAATGGTTACACTGAATATGTTATTACAATTAACATTGAGTGTAAAATTGCTGAACTTAAAGTCTTTGGTCCATCTTGGTGTCCTGCATATCTAAGACTACCGTGGATTTCTCCCGCTTGCCAGGTATACGCCGATAAAATTCCTTTTTCGATCAGGCAGTGTTTCAATGCTGTATTGAACCGGAATATATTTTCTACCATAGGGGCTTTTCCCCTCTGGTTGTAAGGATGTCTTGCCTGCCCTGCAGAGATTAGTTGTTTATCAATACAAATATCGGTGTGAGATTGACTATTTGGGAAAGACTATTCAGCGGTTGGAGGTTAGAATCGCCCAGCATGCCCTGGGGCAAATGCGCAGACATGTGCTTGTAACACCCGGCTGCTCACAGGCTCATGAGTCCGCTATCAACGAGCACTTATTGAATTTGGCTGCTTGCAGGATGGACTACTCTCAGGATTTTTTCTCCGTCTTGCACAGGGCACGAACTAGACTCCACTTCGGCATCTTTGAGTCTGTTTTTATTAATATACAACGTCCGACCCTGTGTAGGCAGAGAGAATTAAAACATAAACTAGCACTTTTTGGGCAATCCGTGGCAAATTCTACACCAAATATTTTGGTCAATCAGCTAAAAATAAAGTACTGGACACGCCAGCTTACAATAAAGTACTAGAGACTTTGGTTAATTGACTCGCGATAAAGTACAAGAGATTTGGTTAATTGGCTAACAATAAAGTACGAGAGATTTGGTTAATCGGCTAACAATAAATTACTAGAGACTTTGGTCAATCAGTTAACAATAAAGTACTGAACACTTTGGCTAATCAGCTAACAGTAAATTACTGGACACGTTGGCTAATCAGCTAAAAATAAAGTACTAAAGACTTTGGTTAATCGGCTAACAATAAAGTACGAGAGATTTGGTTAATCGGCTAATAATAAGGTACTAGACACATCCTACAAAATTCGAGTATAGTTATGTAAAAAAATGAGGCGCTTATTTGGATCTAGGCGTTTAAAGGCAAGAAGTTAATTTAATCAACATATGCTTTCTTTAATTTTTTTAAATAATCAAACTGGGCTTTAAATCGATCATTAACCGTATGTTTATTTTGAATGGATATTGAAAATATGAAGTTTTCTCACAATGACGAAAACAAAGAAACTCATTTCATGAAGCGATAGTTAGACATCAGAGTCACGGATTGGCATATAGAAAGATCTCCAACGCGCTTATATATTCTTTTTCAAATGTCTCTTTAGCTGAATATATTTTTCGATCCTTAATTAAATGAAACACCAATATAAAGTATTGAACTGTAGATCCCTCAACAACTTTTATAGTATTGTAACCAGTAAGCTACTTGGCGGCAACTACACATGTAAACAGCCACATAATCTCGCACATAACTGTGTGTATTTTCCCCTCTCCAGTGTCTTATACGTCAATCTCAGCTGATAAAGTAGAGCTTCTTCCTTGCCAAAATCTTAAAAACAGACAAAAAGAAATGTTTTTTTTTTGTTTTTATTTGTAAAGGTTGGGCCTCTTTCCTTTCATCTTCCAAAAGAAATCGTGTCTGACGTATGTTCCTCTCTGTCTCCGCACTCTGTCGTCTTTCGACAACCCAATTGGCCAAAAGACTTTCATTCCGCACCGGAAACCTTATAAAGATTGGCAGACACAGAGCGAAGAAAGGGACAGATGTGACTAGCAGCGGACAGTGGGCAGTAGACGTGGGGAAGCTCACTTGTGAGATGACTGCAGGCGATATAATGCCTCTTGGCCAGCCAATAAAAGACAAACAAAGAAAATACAATTAGAGAAACTGTCAATGGCATTCTTTCTATCGAATGCTTTCGTGAAACTGATGTCATATTATCAAGGTTAAGGTTATGGCAACGACTACTGCTGTCACGCTAGTTTAAGTGGTTCGGTTAAAATATTGAGGACGAGGATGAGGACGAGAGAAATAGAGACAGAATGAGAGAAGGAGAGAGAGAGAGAGAGAGAGAGAGAGAGAGAGGAAATGTTAAACTGAAGAGACGGTAAAGAAAGAAACGACGAAAGAAATGATAAGGAAAGACAGGAAAGGAAGGAGAAACGGGAGGTCAAAAGTAGAAAATGAAGAATTAACTGAGAGAGAGAGAGAGAGACAGACAGAGACAGAGAGAGAGACAGAGATAGAGACAGAGAGACAGAGACAAAGAGAGAGAGAGAGAGAGTAGTCGAGAGAGAAGGATAAAGATTGGGACGGAAAGAGAGAACAATGATTTTTATTTAGATATTTTTTATAGGGTGCGACAGAAAAACCTCCCTCATAATTTTAAGATATTAGCTAGATGAAGACACCATTGGTACTAATGTCTTACCATTATGTGGGAGGTATTTCTGGGTGGTATATGTGGGAGATATTTCAACCGTACCCTTTGTTGTTTAATTTTATAAAGTAAAACAAAAATAAAATGACTGTTTAGTAGAATATGAGGAGTTAACTGAATCAAAGCTTCCAATAAGGAGTGCTTACATGGTTTTAGATTCGAAATTCAGATTCTTCCCTCTGGGCTTGAACACCGACTGATGGTACCTGAAGGAAACAAAGCCACCAGTTCAACCACGAAGAATGCATTAAAAAAAGCTATATTGAGATTGAAAGTGAGAAAGAGAGAAAGATTGATTGATTGGTTCCTTTTCTGCGGGTTATCAACCCATTGCTGGTTATTTAAAGCCAGAAAATATTTTTAGACCGTAAGATTCTTTTTGGGGAGATAATAATACTTTCGAGACACAACTCTTACTAATTAACCTATAGCTTAGGGGGAGAAGAAATGGATTCTTACCTTTCCCAAGCGTATTTGCGCCTAAGTGAATATAACGAACCCAATGTGGATTGAAACTCGGCTCTCCGATTAACAATTTTGAGTCATTATCCATTACACCACCCACACATCCAAGCTTGCAACACCTGGTTACCCATCTAGGTACTGACCAGGATCGACGAGAGAGAGAGAGAGAGAGAGAGAGAGAGAGAGTGGGGAGAAAAGAAAGTGAACGAAAAAAGATTTATCTAAGAAGAAAAGTGATTCACTGTTTCCACAAACACACACACACACATATATAGACTGACTGAAAAGTAAATCCCTATTTTATGTAAAAAGTAACTCCCTATTTTATTTAAAAAATATAGTAGTTAGACGGGAGAGTTCGTTCATATAATGAAAATAAAGAGAACTTAAAATTTTCTTAAATACTGCTCAGTATCAAATACACAGCCACTACAAAGTCCAATATAAACCGATGTTTTAAAAAATGCCTTTAAAAGTATAAAAACGCCTTTTATACAAACTTTCTGGCATTAGATGACGGAATATATGTGTTATTTTCTATCAACTCAACTAAAATATTGAGTTGTCATGGTCACCATCTAAGATTTCGATGAAATTTTACTGCGATGCCCTCTCGAGACAAACGGAAAACCTGAAAATCGAAACTCACAGTTAAGACCTATTAAAATTTACTTGGATTCTCGTGTCAACTATTAGTAGCATGATTTTACCGAATTCAACACTTTTTTACTTTGTATCTCGAGAAGATAGATGGCTGCTAATTTGGTGGTCTTATAGCGTGATAATTAGAATAGATATTTCTGATTTCAGTTTTTCTTTGTCTTATGGTTTCTTTTAGTTATAGGTCTATAAAATGGGAAAATTACTATTTTTGGTCAGTATTTTGCTGCTCACAGAAACTGAACCAAGTGCATATATATATATATATATATATATATATATATATATATATATATATATTTATATACCAATTGTAACAGCAAAAGTGTCCAAATCGTGTAACAGCAAAATTGTCTAATTGTTAGAGTAAGCTTTGAACCGTTGTATCTTAGAAATGATTAAAGATATCTTACTTGAATTCTCTGAGATTTTCATTACGCTATTGGACTCTACTTTGAAAAATAAGAATGTATTTAGTTCTAAGTTGAAATGATGATCCCTCTTGCTGTTCTAACCACCTAACACAGTTTCCCTTTCTACTGTTCTCTCTATTTTAAACTTATTCCCTGTTCTCTTGATCGTTCTTGAATGGACTTTGAAGATGGATGCCAGAGTTTGAATGTTGGTACCATTACTGAAGGCTTGAATGATCTTTTCCTCCACCATTTCTCAGTTGGGAAGATATAGAGGGGCGAACACAAGATAATTTTAACCTGTTCTATTTGTAGCTGAATAACTCAAAGGGTTTTTCCGTGATTCTTACGACAGATGGTGTCAAGATGGCTAACCGTCTTATCTGAAAACCTGCAAAAAAGAAACTCAGTTTAGTAGTTTTTTAGATATTAAATATTTTGTGGGATGGACAATTATCTCATGCTGTTACACGATTTGGACAATTTTGCTGCTACACTCATTATTTTTATTTAATTCCAAGTGTATATTATATTCATTGAATGTATTGACTTGTGTAAAACATTGAAATGTTTTTTACAAGAATTAATTCCTGGTTGATCAAAATCTAGAAACAGCGTGATAAAAATCTCGAATACTAGGCATTCTTTAACAGTTTTAGAAATAGCGTAGATATGATACACGGTTCAACATTTGCTGAATTATAGTTTCATCTATATTCTTTTTCACATAATAATTAAAAGTTTGCTATTTATATCTAACTTTGTATAATTACAAGAGAAACTGATATACCCTAGAAAATTATTTTTTATTAAAGATTCTTATTGGATACAGTATTTTCACTCTTCGCATGTTACAATAGATTTATTATTACTTATTTAAGTTATTATTTCTTAACATTTCATCTCAATATTTAATTAGTGTTAGTGTTCATTTACTAGTGCTGCAATTAGATGAAAAATGGTTGAAATTGTTCATATTCATTGCTACAAAATTGAATAAAATGAAACTCACTAATGAAACGGATAATCACTCCTTATTGATGCTTATATAAATTACAGCTGAAGTAGTTAAATGTAACCGTAAATTCTATGCTAACATTTTTTTCTCTCGCACTTCTCGCTTGTGGAACACTTTTTCGTCTCCATGTTTTCAAGCCAATATTGATCTTTAAAGATTTAAATGCAATTTCAATCGTCATCAACTGTCTTTGATAGCTCTTTTTTCATCGCTCCTTAATAATGTTTCTCTTTTTTATTATTCCGCACCCCTTGTGTCTTAGTGGCTTTACCGCCTTGCTTGAGGTGAGATGATTAAAAAATAGTGGCTACTCAGCTGTTGAAATCATTTTTGTGTTAATTACCGAATAATTATATTTAGAACTTAACTGCTAGGCTAACAAACTATACGATTTGATTGATATTATTTTATTGATATGATGTGTAGTGAACATTCAGGACGTGGGCGATCATGCTTCTTCGCAACTTTCTGTCGTTTGTATCCCTTAGTAAGATTGGCCCTTCTGCTATCTCTCCTAATCCCTGTTCTGCCAACCATCTACACAAGCTCGTTAGGTAGGATTATTGTCTGCTTTCCCCTATCACTCCTGCCTTAAACATGTCCAGTGAGTGCTGGATTTTCAAAACCCTCTTTCCTCCTTATGGGTTCTACAAATTTCAATAGTCTCTTTCTGATTCTAAGTTGTGAAAACTTGTGTAGAGTTAACTGCACTGGAAGGAAGGATAACAAAGAAATGGTGCACAGCGCTCCACAAAGTGTCCAAACAATCCTCCTTTAAATTTAGAGTTTTTCTAACCCCAGACTGGGTGCCAACCAAGATCACTGCTATTTAACCTTTGCAGGAGGTAGATGGGTTCAATCATTTTCCAACGGCAATAGTAAAGCGTGAAGGAAATAGAATCGAGCGGAATTTAAACTCGACACGCTGATTTCACTTTCTACGCCGATAACTGTTACACTACCCTCATATCTATCTATCTATCTATATATCTATCTATCTATCTATCTATCTATCTATCTATCTATCTATCTATCTATGTGTGTGTCTGTATGTGCGTATGAAGAGATATTGAATGAGAATACATGGTCATGAAAGCGGCTGATGGTGAACAAGAGCAGAATTGGACAACTACATATCAATAGAGGTGAAAATACATGTATGAAGACAAAATGAAATCATGAGAGAGAGAGAGAGAGAGAGAGATAGAAAGAAAAGAGAGAGAATACGACTTAACGAAGAGTGAAAAGAAAAAAAAAAGATTGTAAAAGAAAGTAAAAACTGATTAATTTTTCTGTCACTGATGTCATCATGAAGCATTGAAAGTTTCGTTTCTTTTACGATTACCTCGGTGTTTGTTTAATGTTTTTAAGATGAGCATTCTATATTCTTTTCTGTTTTTCTTTTTGTTTGTTTGCTGGTGATTTGGGGGAAACAAAACAGAGGCAAGTGTTTTGTCATAACTGAATGTGCACAATGACGGCGTTTTTAAACTTTTGTTTAATTTTATTCTAATCGAGCAAGCCTTCTCATGATCACTAATATTAATTAAATCTTGAGAAGACATGCAAAGAGCAGAAGAAATGAAAACAAATAATGAAAGATATATATATATATATATATATATATATATATATAAAAGAGAGAGAGAGATGTCGTGAAATAACGCGATTTTGCAAAAAATATTATTCTGCTGCAAAAATTAACAGGATTTTTGATAGATTCATTATTTATCTAAATTCTTAGTGGTTTGAATAGTTGACGTAATGGAGATATAATTATTAAACTGTAAATATTTACATGAATTATAACATTTTTCATATCAAAATTTGATCGTCATTTGGGTTAATTTTCACACACACACACACACACACACACACACACACACACACACACACACACACACACACATATATATATATATATATATATATATATATATATATATATGGGCTCTCCGGCAGGATTCAATTTACGTCACCTTAGGTTCGAATCCTTCCGGATAACGCATAATTTTCTATAATAAGATTTCCCGTATATATATATATATATATATATATATATATATATATTGTATTTAAGCAGAAATCCCACTTTTATAAAAATTTCATTAAAAACTACTGAGAAAGTACTGTGGCTAAGTTTTTTATTTAAATTTTCTTGTGTTCTTATAATTTTCTTCTTTACTGGACAAAAAATATGTAGAAATTGTTAGAAATATCAGTTGGCAAAATCAAGAAAATTAAATTATCTACTATAAAATATTAAACCTTATCGTCAAAAAAATTAACTTACCTGCAAGATTCAAATTACAGTGAACCAATATTATTTACGAATTTGCATGTAGTTAAGGTACTGTGTTCTGGATCAAACAAAATTCATAAATAATTATATTGTATATAATGCATCATGGCTAAGAAGAAGACTCACGTTACATCTCTCTGACCATAGCTCTATTAGGTCTCATTTAAATACACATGGAGACGTAGTAAATTCCATTCACATCATACCCGTTGATAATACAAATATAATAGCATCGTCCATATGTAATAATTAGTGGAAGCATAATTAATCAAAAAGAAATAACGAACACACAATAACATCAAATATGAACACAGCCATAATGTGGAGACCGTGTTTAGAAAATAAAACATTCTAGATACATACGTAAAATAATCCATACATTCAGTTAAAAGTGAATATTAAAATCATCCTTTGACTAAAAGTTTAGCCGAAAGGACTCGGACATACAGAACATTCTAATAATTTCTACATAATTAAATAAAAAACTTAACCGCAGTATCTTGTCAGTCGTTTTAATGAGAGTTGTATGTATATATATATATATATATATATATATACCGAAATTGATTCTAACCATGGTATAAGAATAGAATAGACAGTGCTCAACAGTAATAGGAGCTAATATCCAAGTATAGGATTGGTGTATACGGAGTAAATTCCAATAACCACACCGAAATTGATTCTTTCCATGGTATAAGAATATAGTTATTTGAATTTATTCCGTATAGACCAATCCTATACTGGTATATATATAGGGGATTTGAACAATCATAATTAAGTAATTCATTGAGTCTAGAAGATTCCTCAACAGACTGCAAAAAGCACTGGATGGCCGTTTCGTCCTATTTTTGGACTCATCAGCAGTGCGCATCCACTACCGAGAATCGAACCCGGACCGTTACGATGCGACGCAATCGTCATACCCACTAGACCAACGGTGACGAAGAGGTAACAAATTAGACTCGATATAGTGCCTACTCTTAACAAATTCCGTAAGGATCCGTGTTCGATTCTCGCTAGTGGATTTTGCTTTTGTTTATCATCAATTCCCTTGATAAAGTCGAATAATGAAACACATCGACAAGGATTAAGTAAATGGTATGAAATTTTATAATGAATATATTGTTGTTCTAGCTTGGAAGAACCTGAATTACATCGGATGGTGCCAAAAATGGACTTCGCACTCAGAATTACGACGAACCTTTCGTGAAGGCAGGTTCAGTGACTGGTTGACCCGGGAAATAACCCCTACCCTTCCTGGTGCACATCTGCACGTTCACGAGATGTCAGTGGCTTTCACCAACATGCAAGCACTTAGTCAACACAACTCTGCGTGGGATCTGCACGGTTGGGAAAAAAAAAACGCATGACAGGTAGATAAAGAATGAATAAAATGGATAAGTACTCGGAAAATATGGGAGGTAGGTACTAAAAAGCTCCCGGGTCGGACCGTTTTTCAAAATTTATACAATTGAACAAACATCAGTTATCTACTTGACAAATTCGAGAACATTTCAGCATCCTCTCGTATTAAGGAAAACCGCTTGTATGAATTCAATTTCTATATACTTATACTATATATTTTTAATTTTTTATATACTATATATTTTAAATTTCTATATACTTATAAATACTTACTATATAGGTAGCATTGGTGGCAGGCATCATATAAGGTTCAGCCAGGATCTTAAATACACATTTTTAAAGCAAACATGTTAATGCCTTTTATTTACAAGATTGGCACAAAACAATCTTCCTAACCCGAATTTCTTATCATTTAGTCTTGCAAAATAAACTAATTAAATAACGACACAGAAAAAACACTGAAAATAGGCTACATATTCATAATTAGTTATCAGTTACCTGTAAAGTGTCAAAGATACATTTCTCTGGATATAATCGAAATTTCAGGGTTCGATTTCTGATGCTAGAATTAAACCAAGTATGCTGTTAGATAGATATGAAATATAAATTTTGTCTCACAAATTACGATGTTTATTATTTAACGATATTTTATTTTCAAAATAGCAGTCGGATAAACAGATAAAAATATGCTATGCCATAGACAGACATTTAGGAAGAGAAGTTTTATCTTGCACAAAGTTAAACCAACTTTTGATATTTATGAAGTTATGCACTCGCGTCCAATAGGGCGTTCCATGCAAAGATCACTTCGAGAGACTGGAATTGAAATCGGCGGTTTTGTAATAAAAGCACGATTACGATTTCAATAGAAAGACATAATTTCAAGAAGATTTACAAATTAAGCGAGTCTGGCGTAATTGTAAGCTTTATTGGATGCAGAATACTCCAACAATGACCGTGAAGCCAACATATTAACCATTTATACAGAATGGATTCTTCGGCTTACGATGTTAAATGAAGGTTGGTGTGAGAACCAACTTCAAACTTTTATTTTTTTGTCTTTATCCTAAGCCTCCGCGGAAAGACACGAATCTACTTTTACATGTGCTCCGTAGTATCGCTCAAATAGTTTAACAAAATCTCTCGTCACTGGTATGTCAGGATGAGAGTCGGTGGATGAGTATGTAAGTTAATATTAATATTCTTTTGATTAATAGCAAATACCTATTATCAAAAGAGTAAAACTTGACAAGGACCTACAATATGCAAATATCACACTGTCAAAATTCATCATCATTCTCCTCCTCATCAACAGCAACATCATTAACAGCAACAACAACAATCCAGTGATCGGGTCTGGTCACAGGGTCGCGGCGGAAGTGAACACCGGGCCAGTTCACTTGACATATTTGGGTTGAAAACCTTAGAGGTGTTCATTCAGGTGTAGCGTGTCTTGGGCAAGTAAATCTGGTGAAGCCGACCCCTCTCCAAATCAAACCACTGCCGATGTCCTCCAACTTCAAGTTCATCTTGTTCACTGACCACTGATTTCATCGGGAGAAGCACGCCCTCCAACCGTTGACTTCAGTCTAGGAGTCCTTCTCACCAGCACTGACTACATACGTAACTATAGGCCCCAATCTTCCCTATTGTGCTTGATGGTCGTTGGCCCTACAAGAAGTCTTATCTGTCCTTTGACAGATCTCGTTTTGTCCATTCACCCTCCTCATCAGAAAAAGCTTGGCGGGAGAACTGATTTAGTTGGCGATGTCCTGGCTATGCGTCAGGTAGTTAATGGATTACATGGAACAAGTTGCAGTCGCAGACATAAAATATGCCAAAATTATGTCATCATTTACTAAGTGTTGATTAGTATTGGTCCACAAATATAGGGTGCCCAGTGAGGATTATATTCACTATTCAGTAGAAATGGTCAACCAAAATAGCTTCCTAGAAATTATCCCATTCAGAGGCTTCACTCCCAAAATAATATTATTACGCATCACTATTAATATATAAAATATTTTATAACCTGTAATTATATGATAAATATGAGCGAATTTTAAACAATATTTTAAATGAGTAACCGTGCATAATATTTTATGAAAGAGTTTGTAGTTTAATCAACAGATAACCTGCTGGTTAACCATTGAATTCGACAAGCAAATCTCATCAGCTTTTTTTTTATATTTTTTCAAGGATTGGCTTAGGCATTTCTGTTGCTGTTTTATTGTTTCAGCCTTAAGTCAATGGTGGAGTGTTGACGATGTTTTGAATAACAATGACTTCAGCAAGGATGTTAGCTGCTCTCTGATTGGACAGCGAAGGATGGAGTGAAACGCCACAAGCCACTTGAAGACACTCAACGCATGTTTTGAGGAGCAGACCGGGAGATGAGGGTTATTGGGGGTAGCCGGAAGCAATTAGCAGACAGTGGAGGAAGTCGTCAGAATCATCATCTGCATTAAAGAACACAGATATCGATGCCGAATGATGGGCCGTGGGTGATTGTTAAAAGAGATTAAAAATAAAAGGAAAAATAGACATGGAAAGAAAACAGAGAAATGGATGAAGCAAGAAATAGATACAGAAATGAAGAAAAAACTGCTAGGTATTTTTAGCGACGAAAATATGAAGGAAGGAAAGAAGGAAGGAAGGGAGAGGATGAGGGAAGAAGATTAGGGAAAGAATAAAGAGGATGGAGAAAAGGAGATGAAAGAAGTTAGGAGGGAAGAGAATGAGAAAAGGACGAGGAAGAAAGGAAGGAAGGGAGAGGATGAGGAAAAATAGGAATAAAAGAAGAGGGGAGATGCGGAAAGAAGATGAAGGAAAAAAGAATAAGAGAATGAGGAGAGTAGATGAAAGAAAAAGATTAGAGGATGAGGAGAAAAGAAAATGAAGGAGAGAAAGAAGTAAGGAAGAGAATATGTAAAGATTGAATAAAGTGGATGAAAAAAAAGGAGAGAAAGGGACGTAGAAAAAAGAGAAAAAGATGATGAAGGAAGGAAGGAAGGAAGGAAGGAAGGAAGGAAGAGAATAAGTAAATTAATAAAAGAAGGAATGAAGAAGGCGAGGAAAGAAGATGAAGAAAAAAGGAAGGTGATAAAGTGAAGAGGATGAAAGAAATAATAAAAACACAAGTAAAGAAGGAAGTAGCGAGAAATACGCTGAATAAAATCAAAGGAAGAAGAAATGACCAGAAAAGAAAGACATATTATAAAGGGAGGGGGAGGAAAATACGGAAGGAAGTTGTAAGCGCCATAAAGAGAAAATAAAGAAGAAAAATGATAAGATTTACATCCTTGCATGAAAGAGAGAAATCTAGGAATTCGTTTAGACGTAGTATAGTTCAGAGATGACTATTATAATGAGTTAGATCCTTATTGAGCCAAGGACATGGCTTTGTGTCAGACAATACAAAAGCAAAAAAAGTACAGATAAAATTGTAGAAATGTCAGGAGACAATTTAGAAGGTATGATACAATATATGAAAAAACTAAAAATAACGAAAGGTTATGGTAATAGCCGTTTCTCTACAAGGAAAAATTTGACATTCATTGACCGAACAGCCATTACTAAATTCGGTTAAAATTTATAAAATCTTCCTCTTAAAACAATTTTTCAGGAAATTAGGCTTTTCAAGTCCAGTAGGTGATATCGCTCTTTCCAGTAATTATGCATGTTTCCTCCCTAACTTTTTATTTGAAGTGTTGGGGAATGTTAACATCTTGATTATGTCGTTATTTTCTCTTTGAGTTACATGTGTTATCCATTTTAGTTGTTGCTGCTTTTGGTAGTTCGCAAGTGATGTGGTTTCTCTTATTTGGTACAACACTTTGTTTTCTGTAGCTCCAGTTTACAATATTCAAAGAGGAATGATATTTGCCAAGACTGTCAAGTTTCACTCACTCAAAGCCTTTTTTTAACCATTGATCTTGCGAAGCTGTTGTATACAGCTGACAGTTTAGATATTTCTGAAGGCATTTGGCTCCATATATGACATCTATATGAAAGTTTCAATCTTTCAGGTTGATGTTTTGGTTTTTGTAGCAATTTGAGGTATTGGACAAAACTACCCCCGTGGCAGCTATGTTCAATTTCATTATTTACTATACAAAATTTGTTATAACTTATCCATATGCCGAGCTATTTGAAGGGTTTGGTTTTACTAATTACACATCCTGAATTTTTATGATAGATTCATGGCTAGTGCCAATCACTGCTTTCATTCCAATTCCATATCATAGTTTCTGTTTTAGGAAAGTTTATTTTGAGTCCTGTTTATTGGAATACTTGGTAGAGGATGTTGATTTTCTGTTCAAGATCATTCTCATGCCAACTATGAATACCTATGTCATAAGCGTAGCCCATCAGTATATCGGAGGGAAATCAGGATCATGGCTTTTCATTGGTAGATTCGTTTGGCATGTGGTATAGAATGTTTAATTGCTCATATCTTCACATGTGCGCTTCTAAATGCGCAGGGAAGGAGTGAATAAAAAGGAAATAAAAGAGAGAAAAATATAAAATAAACAGGAGAGATGGCTTTTTTGGTGGTTGAGAGAGTTACTTGTAGCCGGCGTCAAATATGGGTGTTCCGGTCAGGTTAAAAGTCAGAAATTTGAATGCTGATTCTCAAGGAAGATTGTTATAAATCTTTTTTCCTAATTTGATTTCATCTTCTTTACCATATTAAGCTAGGAATGGCAAATATCACTAAACATGAAAGGAGAAAGAAAGAAAAGTGCAAATTTTAAGTTAAACTAATAAAATAATTAAAAAAAGATTAAAGAAAAGCTTTAACGAAACAGAGAGAGTGAGAAGATCATTTGATATCGAAAGAGGTAAAGAAAAATGGCTTGGACAAGGAAGAGTGCTGAACAAAGAAAAGCCACTCAGAAGCATAGCGGGTTACCAGAAAGAAAGATGATAATAAATAGAAAAACGAAGACAACAATGTGATGATGAAAAGAAACAAAAAGTGTCAAAACTAATAGAAAAGTTAAAAGAAAGTGAAAAAGAAGAAAGATTGAAAAGTAAAGAAAAAACTGTGAACAGCAAAAAAAAAAAAAAAAGAAAAAGAATGAAAGAAAGTAACAATAGAGAGAAGAACCAAAGAAAGAAGCTGGAAGAAAGAAAAAAAAAAAAGAATGAAAAAGAAAAAACAAACGAATTATGGCACTATAGAAATAATCCGTGCATTCGCATATAAACATAGAATGATGGGCAAAGCTGAGAGAAATGAAATGACGTCGAATCCAAAGGAGGAAACAGTGAATATTTCTCGAATTCATAAAACAAAACTGAACAAAACACACACACACACACACACACACACACACACACACACACACACACACACACACACACACACACACACACAGACACAAAAATCAATCAAAAAACAAAGAACAAAACAAAAACAAAACAAGCATTGAAAGAAGTAATAAAAGTAAAAAAAATGGAAACTTATTCGTTATATTTTTTCATTTATTAGAAATGTATTAAAGTTAATTTTCAGCCTCAAATGTATTAAATGCTATCAACAACTCGACGATTCTCAAGGTTAAAAGACAAAGAAATCTAGACATGAGTATGTTACACCTAGTCAGACAGTAAAAATCGATTATTACCGTGATTTGTTACGGCGTTTGTGGGATCCATTCAATTCGCCAGAAAAGGACAAAATTCGTCCGGTGAGGGGCAACTTCAACATGACAACTCACCTGTTCATTCAGCGCGTCTTGTGCAACAGTTTTTGGCTAATTACGACGTTTCCCGGGTTCATCATGAATATGCTCCATTTGTCAGCCAGTAGAAAAGGAGTATTACCATGACGTTTTACGGCGTCTGCAGGATTCAGAAAAGCATTCGTCCGGTAACGGGCAACTCTATCACGCCACGCACCTGCTCCATAAACGCCGCTTGGGCAGCGCTTTTTGGCTAAGTATAACATTCCCCAGGTTCGGCAAATACCACATTCTCCAGATCTCGCCATTTGCGATTTTTTTCTCTTTCCAGGATCAAGATTTCAAGAGATCGAGGAAATCCAAGAGAATGCAACGGGGCAGCTGCTCGCTATTCGAAAAAGGACTTCCAGGATTGCTTCTGTTGATGAAAATGACGCTGGATAAAGTATGTGGTTCCACAAGGGAAAAAGTCTAAGGAAATTAAATGCCAAATTGATATGTATTGTAATTTTCTTTTTATAGCATCAGTTCTGATATTTAAAAAAAAATCGAAACACGTATCTTCCAACTGAAAAACGTGAATGACATGATGTGTAAAATGGGCAAAAACGAAACCCTATCTATCTATCGTAGCAAATAGAATTAAATATTCAACTTCTCCCAACTTCGAGTTTCAACTTCATTTGTTATCTATCTATCTATCTATGCAAAGACACACATGCATAAATAGGAATAAAGCTGATGCGGAATTCGACTTAATGGTAAATCTTTTTCCATATATCTCATGTAAAGGGTGCGATGAATAAATTGTTGTCTAAAATTCGCAAAATGAAACTAACAATGACATTTAACAGATATATTTACCAAAACTACACAAAAATATCTTTGTCTTCAACCACAGTCTTCAGACGACTTCGGAATCGTCTGCATCTCTTCTGGACGGTCTCATTGTTTAATTTGGTGAATGCTGCCATAATTCTTGCTTTCGGTTCATCATTGGTTTTACAAGGAATTTTGATGTACTTTTGCTCAACTGTGCCCCACACATAATAATCAAAGCGGTTGCATTCTGGGGAATTAGTTGATAAGATGTAAGGGACTGCCATAACCGGGTTCTTCTGCTTGTGTGGCATGGCGCAGACTCCTATTGCCAGACATAGAGTCTTTCAGCCGCCACCCTCTTGAATCAAGGAAGGACTACCTCCTGAAGGCGTGATGAGTCTGCGGCATCTCAAATTCTGGAGTTCTTTTATTATTAGAACGATCAGAGAGTGCTTTCCGTGCTGCCGTACATTGTAATTACCATTAGACATATTCAACTCTTTCCGAATCTTTTGCACTGTCCTCAGATTGCCAGTCAAACACTCTGATATATTTGTATTGGAGCTTCCGGCGCGAATGCTAAGCAATACAGCATGTCGTCTCCAAATTTCTGGCGGAGTGAATTGCGTCATGGTGGTCTTTTTCTCACTGGCGGTGTCCAACTGACTCTACTATACCGTGTAGTCGACAAAATCAAAAACGAACAACACGCATGCGCGAAGTTAAAAAAATAAAATGGCGATGTTACCCATCGCATCATATATATATATATATATATATATATATATATATATATATATATATATATATATATATATATATATATATATATATATATATATATATGACAAAATATAGTTTTGAGGTATGCTATATCTATGGGTTAAAGTGCTCAATATCAGGTATAGAGCGTATGTAAATATAGAAGTGGAGATTGAAGTCAACACCCAGTGGCGACAGTCAGTTCCATGCAAAGCGCAATCTTCAAAACTGCTTTTAAGCCGCCGGGTATTGACATCAATCTCCACTTACACACACACACAGACACACACAGAGACACGCACACACATACACACACACATACACAGATAGATATATACATAAAAGGTCAGACAACTATTTACTATATATAAATAAAAGTATATATATATATATATATATATATATATATATAAAGAAAAATAAATATACTATATATACATAAAAGGTCAGACTACTATAGTAGTATTAAAAAGTGCTAAATACATTTGTGAATAAAATAAAATAAAATAGCATGTATAGGTTTTAACTTTAAAAATCAGGAGTTAAGTTGCTAAGGATACCGTAAGGTTGAAATCAAGGTAGCGGATTCAACTGACCTCCTGATTTTTAATATATATATATATATTTATATATATATATATATATATATATATATATATATATATATATATATATATATATATATATAAACGTTGGAGCATACATGTTTGTAGCAAACTGATGTAATATTTATTTTTTCAAAGGATGTTTTGTCAATGTAATTAACAGTATTGAATGTTAATGTCTTTGCTCGATAATTATATATTGAAATTTGCCAATCAATGCGATGACGATGTTTAGCGTGTTAATCTAATCTAAAGTCATTTCCTTTATACGTTTTCCCCAACAAAACTCAGGCATATGTTAAGCTTAGTCTTGCTCGTGTGTCTACCATCGTATGAAGACTAGCAAATTTGTCTCAGCAGAGGAATGCGGTACTGTAACGAGTTCGATCCTCGCCGATTCGATCATATTGCAGCTTTGTGCTAGACAAAACGACGCCTAAAATATTTTGTTCAGTTTTTTCTTGAAAGAAGAAAATAAAGAATTATGATAGGTAAGCTTACTTTATTTGAGAAGGCCATTAGAATTATCCAGAACTTATACAGGGGACAAACCGCCTGCATACGTATAGAAAATGAATTCAGTAAATTAGGATAAATAGAAAGGGCGTAAGACAAGGATGTGTCTTTCATCTAGACCAATCAAAATGAAGTAATCCTGAGAGAATGATTGGCAGTCACAATCTTAACAACATATGTCAACAACAGCTTTTTCCCGCGAACCACTACTCTGTATAACCTAACTCGTAAGAGGATGTTTCCACGATTACTACAAGCTTAACCTGTTTAAGTCTCGGGTTAAAAGTTATCTTCTCCTATCCGCATAAATGTCCTCTTAATGTAACCTTCTACCTCGAGTGACCCTCGAGTTTTGGACAGGGTGAACTATACGGAAAAAATGATATATTTCGATGACAGTGTTGACAACAGACACAGAAGGAAAATTACAGGAACTCTCGCAGAATGAAGTAAAGAAAGCGAGAAGAAAGGACCAAATATCAACTGTAAGCAGACAGAATATATGGTCGTCAGCAAAAGAAATAGTCCAACATGCGAATTACAAATTTGAGATACCAAAATCTAGCAAGTACAAAATCTGAAGTTACTAAGAAATGTCAAATGTCAAATTACTAAGAAATGTTTTAACCAAATCTGAAGGTGCATTGGTATAGAGAAAATTGCCTTCCAAAAGCTAAGCAAAATATTAAGTAACAGAAAAATTTCGTTAGAAACAAAGAAAAGATTACTGAAATGTTATGTAATCTTTCTTCCTATGTGGCAGTGAATGCTGGTCAATCTCCTTACAAATGAAGAAAAGACTTGAGGCAACAGAAATGTGGTTCAACAGAATGATGCTGAGAATACCATGGATTCAACGTGTGAGCAACGACAAAGTTTTAGACAAAATGGAAAGAAAAAGCATACTTATTCTTCGAATCAGAGAGAAGTGAGAATTGAAATTTTCACGGTATATAATGAGGAAAGAGAGCTTCGAAAAAATGAACCTCACAGGACATATTGAAAACAGAGAAAAACTGAGCATAACCTATCTAATGAGCTTGTGTAAATAGTTGGCAGAACGGGGATTAGCAGATAGCAAAAAGAGACGTTTTAATAAGAAGTATAAAGGACAGGAAATTGTGGAGAGTCATGATCTCGAACATCCTGAATGGACAAAGCACATAAAAGAAGTAGAAGTAGACGAAGATGATGAAGAAGAATCTGAGTTTAGTTTGGTGATAAAGAATGTTGTGTGCATAAGTGGATGCGTGTGACAACCCAGTCTTTAAAAGTGTATGGTGGTGAGAAATGATGCTGCGAAGGAGAAAGTCTGATTGGTTGACACAATCTGTTGGATAAGATCTTCAGATTGGTATTTCGTTTGAAAATAAGAAAAGGGGAGAAAATTGGAAAGCAAGCAACAGAAAAACAAAACAAAAAGCAAAACAACAACAACAAAAATAAAAATAATTAGAACCTCAGAAAACGAAATTCAATAGAAGACAGAAACAATGTCGAATACAATGCG